ACTTTCTTCGCATGAATTGAATATCTGTTAATCACACCACTGCAAAATGAGTGCTCCTCATGCATTTTACGGGAATAGAACAGGCTCAAAGGCAAGGTCTAACTGCGGTAATTTTTAGAACATGGAGTTACTTACTTGGCGAGTACCGGTATATTAACAGTCCGAGTGATCTCGCGAATTTCATCAATCCGGCACGGATGCTGATCACGTTCTTCTCGCCTCCGTCCATGAACTCCTAGAGCGGCAACCCCACATTTTTCGATTTCGCGAACTAGATTCAGTGTGGCTGACGGCTGTAATATAGTTGTTATAGAGTCGAACTGAGTTCAAGCCTTCAAAGGGGCAGAGTAACCTAACTAACATCGTCCAGAACCCGGATTTTGCATGACACTGGGACTTGTGACACAGAAGTGAGTGAAGAAAGTATCTAAAAATAGTTACACGACTACTCTTATATTTTTTTCACAGTGATTTGACATAGTTAGAATTTGCTGTCAACTGGGTCCAGATGCTCGAGCAAACAGCAGAAAGCGTGTTTTTTCTGAGTGAAAAGCTACATTTGTCTATCATATGACCTCTGCTTGATAGTACTTGTCTAACCTAGAATGATTATTTCTTCAGAAGACTTTTTTCTCAAGAATTTCTGTTTGCAGACAGTTTCGTTTTCTTTGCTTCTTACTCAGTGAATGAATATGAGTTGAAAATTTGAGAATTGACTTCTGTGCTTTCACACCTAATTGCGGTCGCCTCGCCGTTGCGAAGCAACTCTAATAAATCCTATGGCTAGCCGTAAATTGAGAGCTTTTATGGTTTGGATGAGTTGTCCGACGCAAAATAGCGTTGTATTGGCGACTCCAAAGCGGCAACTGAAGCTGATGTACCCCAATGGCAAGTTGGCAGCGAGCGGCCGAGACGACCGCCCCTTCTTTTGGTTCCCCGGCGCACGTGCCATTTGTGTTCTCGACGTTGTTGGAATTCTCCCAAAACAATCACAGCATCAACAGAATTCTCACAAAAACTCAGGGAAGATCTTGTTCAGAAACCATTGTATTATTACCACTTCAAATGAACCTGGACAAGGTAGTATTACCCGACAAGTAGAACATGGAGGATTGTGAACGCTATTTAACCCTTTGACGACGACGCGCCTTTTTACGTGTCTGGCGCGCGGGACAGACGCATTTCGAAGCTCTTCGCTTCCGCGGCTCACCGTTGAGCCGCGCTGTCCCACGGTTGATACATTTTCCTATTGTGGACATGTTCTTATTTTTTCAAGCGCTTTTGCATGATTTAATCTGAAATAGGTGTAAATTCGGTAATTATGAGTTCTCAACTTTAGTGAGGTCTGGTTTTATGCATAATATAGCTTTGGGAGTCTGCAGTGGACAATTTAGAGGGTGGTTTTGAGAATTTATTGATCCAACTCGACGAAAATAGAACTGAAGAATAAAACTTTTCAAGGTATGCAAGGTGTTACACATGGGGGACTGAGATTTAGATACAAGATTCACTTCGGTAGGCAGCCCACAAGCAAGGACTCAGCAGCTATATTTGCTGCGGTCACGATTATTGGACGGACTCTTGAATCAAGGAATGCATCCCTATACCGATAACTAGTGAATGACTTATTGGAACATAGCACCCACTTGCCCAACACTCAAAAAGGCGAAAAGGAGTACAGGAATACTAATAAAAGTCAAAGCAGTTAAAAGGAGGGCAGTTTTAAGAAAATTTGTTACAAACAACTATCTCGAGCTTATGAAGTGTTCACACCCCCGTGCTAAGTGGGTTGGCGGGGTCCAATTGGCTCACATACCCCGGAGCGCCTCCCCTCCCCAAAACTAGGTGAAAAACACACAGTTATAACATCAAAGAAAGCTATGAAACGTTCCTAAAAACCACTACGGGCTCGACTACTCTTCCTTCTCTACTATCTCACTGGAAAGAGCGCCAGACGACAAAGTGCCGCGTCGCCGCGTGCCCCCCCCCCCCCCCCCCCCCCCCCCCCCCCCC